CAAACCTTTGGCCCATTTAATATGCGACCTGAAACCGTCTGGCTTGAACCTGCGCGACCCGGCCCATCTCTCTTTTACGCGTGTGATGTCATGAGATTTCTTTTAACCTAGCGTGTATTTCCTCTCGCTCGGTTCTCTCATCTACATCGCAACTTTATTTTTCATCAGATTTTTCTTCTCTTCGATCGCGCATCAGAAAATCGATCGATCTCTCACCATCTCATCTCCTTCATCATCAACCCTCTCTATCGTTTTTTAACCCGTCGCCATAGTCATATCCAATCATCTCGTCATTCTCCAGTCATCATCCTCACGCCACCATCTCGCCGCCGCGAACCAGTAGCCTCACCGTGGACCAGACCAGTCATCATCACCATCATCGCGGCCCTGCTCGCGAGTCTCCTCCGCAATAGCAACACCACAGACGAGTCCTCCTTCCCCTCCGCCGCGCGCAGGCCCTCCCTCCGGCGAGTCCTCCACAACCGGCGCCTGCAAGCCCTCCATCGCCGCAGCCCTCTGCTTGCAAGCCGACGAGACTTCCCCTCCGGCGACCCTACTGCCCCTCTGCCGACGACCAACGAGGCCCTGCGGCCGCGTCAAGCCTGCTCCTCTTCCGCGAGCCAGCCGTTGAGCCCGTGCCGCCGCTTTGTGTCGCCGCGAGCTGCTCCTCGTCTCAAGCATCGAGTGCTGCAGCAACCGAGCAGTCAGAATAGCCGCTGCTGCACCTTCTTTCTCGGCGAGACGCGAGAATCCGTCGAGCCCTTCATCCCCGTTCGTCTTTTTCGTTTCCGTTTTTCGAGTTTTCCCGAGAACGGTACCTAGTCGATCCCGTCTCGTTTAAATCGTTTATATGTTAATTGCTTATCGTGTTTTAAATGACGTGATGTGCCCTTACGATTTGATTTACGAGATGTGAATATGTTGCGATTAATGGGTTCGACATGAATTTATGAGAAAGAGATGATTTTATGTGTAATCGTATATATGTTCGGGATCTCTTCGATTATGAGAAATCGAACGAGGCCTCGAAACTCGTGTAAGTCAGTGGATATTGGAACAAAGTCGAGTCCTTGGCCTTATGGGAAGGCCTCGGACGAGAAATTTCGTGTTATGAATTAATTGCTAAGTTGCCGAGCATATATGTCGCTGTTTTGGTGTTTGAATTTTTATAAATCGCACACTGCTCGGAATGACTTGAAATTTTGAGGGATATGTTATCTTTTCATTTCCAGCCTTGTGTAAAAATTTCATAATTTTTAGAGGCCTGTAGCTATTTTTAATAATTAAAGTGAATTCTGATCAGAATATTGTTTAATGCTTAATAAATTGGTTTGTGTTTGAAATGAGCTGAAATTTTAGTATGTCATGCCTCTGTGATGTTTATATGTTGTGTTAAATTTTTAGAATTTTTGGACTTGATTTGATATGGTTAATAATTTATTTACCGAATCTGCTGAAAATAGTTTGAATTTTTATAAATCGGTTGTTTGGTGAAAAATTCTGAAATTTTACTGAGATGCCTACTTTGAGTGTATATTCATTCTGTTAAAAGATGAAAATTTTTGGAGTTCATTTTAGCTCTGTTCTGATTTAAATTCGATAACTGCAGAATCTTGCATGAATTTTTAAAATTATCACAGTTAATGTCCAGGACTGAGATTTTTACATGTTGTCTCTATGATGCTGTAGCTTGTTGTGTTAAATTTTCAAGTCCTGAACCGTTCATTAGGTTCAGATATAAATCCATGTGCATTTTTGCTGATTTCTTGTAGGAATTTTATAAATTTATGTGCTTTGAGTTTGAAGCTGAATTTTGGTGGTTTCACTAATTACTGGGAGATGTAATTTTGGCTAAAATTTCACAGCTTAAGTCGTAGGGCAGCCTGGTTAATGATTTTCATGTGATTAATAGCTAGTAAATTTTAAAGTACGATTTTGGAATTTAAAACGGTAATCGACTTGCTTTTCGTTCTGTTGTGAGTTTGACTTGGTCTATCATTAGATGAAATTATTTGAACTCCCATATGTGGTTTGGTCGAGTTTAGTGCCGAGTCTTAGTGTTCCAACATCCACAGGACTTCACGAACTACCTAGTCGAAACAAGTTCGACTAGGTTTGTTTTGTGTTTTCCGATTAAGTCAAGATATTGATTGTAGGATCTTGACATAATGTAGGTGTTTGAGGAGTCAAGCCTCGACCTACTTCCATTGCTTTGAGTTATCATCAATCCGGAATCCAGGTGGGTTGTTATTCTAAAATTATCTGTGCAATGTGTGTTAAATATGTTTATTGTTTTGGCTTGATCTATGTATGAATGTGAATATGTAGCCTATCGATGTGAGCTATTATGATGGCCATCGGTACGGTTGTCCCCGTCGATGTAATACGGTTGCCTTATGAGGCAAGTCTCCTTAAGACCTATTATGAAAGGCCGTGTCCTTGCGTGGCACGTACTCTCGCCGTAAGGGTAATGAATCCCCTTTCCGCGACTATTATGAAAGATGTGCACAGGAGTATTTATGTTATGATGGAGATGTGACATATGTGTATTGTTTGTGTTCATGCTGCGATCATGCCAATTTGACATATTATGAAACGTGCATTGCATAGTGTGAGTACGATAGTTAACTGTACTCACTCCCACCTGCTCGTAACTGATGCAGGTTAAGCAGTCGGCGGGTGACAAGACAAGACGGGTGGTGGTTATGCTTTTATTTATCGCTTATTTATTTGCTTCCGCTCATTTATGTTGAGATATTATGACTGTGTCGTTTTGAACTTAGAATTGTGAATTATCTTTATGATTTATTATTCGTGCATGCTGTCTTTATTTGATACGTTTGCATTTTTGGTTAAAGGCTTTTGGAAAAATTGAGTAGCGCCCACTGAGTTTTAAAATAAAATTTAAGTTTAAAAAAAAAAAAAAATTATTGTGATTTTTATTAAATAAATTCGATAAATCCTTTAAAATAAAGTGGGGCGTTACAATACTAGTAAGAATTTCGTGCGACGCACGAATAAGAAATACTCATTAATATTTATAAATTATAAATGCTCATTAAATTATATTTATTAAATTAAAAATATGAAATTAATATATAATACAATTTACCTATATTAATTTGTTAAAAATGTTATATGAAACTTAAATTGTGCAAAATTATATAAAACATATCTATTTAAAATTAGTACACGACCCGTACAGTGCAAATGTAAATTTTTATGGTTTAATCTTACAAATGTAAATTTTTATGGTCTAATTATTTCCTTAATTATTCAAGATTTGAGCAATTAAATACACAAAAAATCAGTAATACTTTATTAAAAATTTCACAAAAGAATTACACTAAAAATATAAAATATTTATTAAATAATAAATTATACAATTTGGTTGAAATTTTTTACACCAAATCACATAATTGATATTGCAGCCGAAATTCTCGAATTTGGGTAAATCAGCCAATTCACATGATTTGAGTAATTAAAGTATCTTAAAAATGAATTTACCATAAGTGACTATTTGAAATATACCATAAATTGTTAAATTAATTTGAATAGTTAAGGTATCTTAAAAATGTATTTTTATATGACTTAATTATTTCCTTAAATAATGAGCCGCCATTTTTATAACTGATTATTTAAAATATACCATAAATTGTTAAATTAATTTCTCAAAATAGTAAATACATTTTTTTAGAGAAATAGTTACTATTTAAAAAATAATCAAACCTTTTAAATTATATAGATATAGATTTGACATTAATTATTATTATTTTTTTGTTTGATAAATTACTAATTGTATTGAGATGTGTAGAATTAGCACAACATTCTAAACAGTTGCTAACTTATTCAAATTCCCAATAATATTATATCTATTATACACAATTCCACTAGGGCTTTAAATTTTTTGACAATATTTATTGAATTGGTCAAACCATTAATGAGTAACATTTAATATAGAATGGGAGGAAAAACAAAAAAATTTCCAGCTACTTTGCCTTTTTAGTGTGTAAATTATCTACAAAATTTAATGTACAATTACAATTTAACATTTTCAATGTGACAAATTATCCTTCTTATTTTCCAAGAAGTATAGGCCATTACCCAAAATTGCAATCAATACATAAGTTAATTAATAACTACAATACACATTCCAAGTTTAGACAATATCTAAAATAATGTGAAAGTAAATTATCCTATAATTAATACAATAATTAATGTAAATTTGAGCGGGAAATGTGCAACGGATCCGCTTTAATATATATATAGATATAGATAAATAAATTAATTAAATACTCCCTCCATTTTGAAATATAAGGCGTATAAAGATTTCTCATTTTTTTTGAAATATAAGGCGCGTTCAAAAATCAAGACAAATTTTTGTATTTTTTTCCAAATATACCCTCATTGTGTTGAAATTAAGGAAGTGTGGAGTGGTTGTGATTAGAGTAAATAAGGTTAATTTAGTCAATTTATTCATTAATTAATGTCTCCTTAATATTTGTGCAATAACCTTAAATGTCTTAGAGCATCTCCAATGTGACTTTTGACATTGCAAAAAATTATCCATATCATCAACTTTTGAAAGTTTATTACTAATTTATTCTCCAATGCATCTTGTCATTAGCTCTTTCATGATGATGTGGATGACATTTAATGTTAACAACGTTGAACTCACTTTCTAATATCTAACACCATGTTAAACATGATGACTCATTAATTCACTTTATATTTGGTTTAATTTTTTATTATTCTTGTATTAATGAATTATTATAATTGGTCCACATATACAAATAAATTCTTATCAAATTGGTGCATTGGAGATACTAGTTTGATTCAAATTTTTAGTCTTTTAACATTATTCTTATGTGGATTAACATTACAATCATCAATTGACATGTTGCCTTTCAACACCATAGCATTGGAGAGAGATGCTCTTATATTTCAAAATGGAGGGAGTATATAATAAAATGAAGACAGTTGGAGCACGCCACCGGCGACCGAGCCCATCCATTATCCAAAAATGGCGAGCAGGCCAAGGGTGGATAGTGCTAACGTGCGCCGTGTGAATACGACCAAAACAAGCTACCCTTATCCTGCACCACCCTTTGTACTGCTTTATCTTTGAAAAGTGTGCCTGCGCATATAATAATAATAGCGCGAAACAGAGCCAATCTTCAGATGTATTCAGCTCTACTTTATTCACTTAATAGTATGGACTATTAGTATTACCTTCGCCACTGTATTAATGAAGAAATAATTTATTGCATCCTTTTCAGACCTCCGATCGCGATTTCTCGGCGTATTTATTGGAACATTTGAAGGCTAAAAAGGAGGTTGAACGAGTGATATAGTTTGGGATGGAGTCGAGGGCTGAGCGGCGGCTGAGATTGATTCAGGCCCATCTGGTTCCCGTCGCCGATGATGATTTGTTGCGGGTTTCTGCGAATCCGACCGCCGGTGAATATTTTCACGGTACTATTATTGCTCAGTGTAAAAGTGATCATGGATTGGTGGCATATTTTTTATTTTTATTTTTTGTTTTTGCTGCTGATTTGGTACTTTATAATCTGTAGTGTGCCATCGAATATTCGTTTCATGAAAAGCTGTAGTTTAGCTTTTTTCTTCTAACTGTAGATTTAGTTTATAGGGAATATGCAAATATTCTGAATTGATTTTCCAGTGAATGGTCAAGTTTATGGAATCACTGGCGGATAAAGTAGTATTCACGGGTGTTCTGTTTTTCCTTCACAAGCAGCTAGAGATTGGCAGTTAAATTTGATTTGTAGGATGATACACGGGGGATGAAGGATGATAATTGATATTGTTGCTATGAATAATAATATTTATTTACTTCTTTTCATATCAGTTAATTGATTTTATGAAATTAGATAGATACTTTTCCACGGGGTTGAAAAAGTATGTTTCATGGTTTTGACTTTCCATTTGATCTTAGTTTTGGTTTGACAATGTAGTGTTCTTTCATTCTGTTTGTATTTTTTGTTCATTCATTGGTCAAATCTTTTGACAAAGATTACGTGATGAGCAGTGGGATAGTAGCTTGCTTGAGGGGTTTCTGATTGATCAAGTTGGTATATTACGATTAAATATATATTGGATGTATGTGGATGCTGGAGTTTAGGTTTGTGTTATTGCTACTTTTGTTTGAGGATTTGGCTTTAGCACTTGCATCTATGTCAAGGGGAGGGAATGTTGCTCAAATTTGGAACCTGACTTACATAAAATCAAATGTTGATTTTACCAACTTCAATCATGTAATTTTTATTTTTTTAACAAGGTTCTCATATACTGGGTATGTTGATTGTTGTTGGGAATATACTGGGTATGTTGTTGTTGTTGTTGTTGTTGTTCTCATATACAGATCGACCTGGCTTTCTTGAAATAATTTATTATTCTTTTCCATGAGCTGTTTTTCCTGTTCTCTTCCGCTAACATTTTTTTCTGTATCAGTCACATTATTTCCTTTATATTATAAATATGGTCGCTTCTTTAACATGAAATAGAATGAACACTAACTATGATTAACAACTTTTTTACCAGAGATGAACCCGTGTAATTATATTTGTAACTACTCAATCACATAGGAAACTCAATTTGAGTTTGCAAACGCGTGCACTTCTGAAAATTCTTTCTGGCCGGTAACTGCATAACTTGATATTTGATGCACCTACTAAATCAACTCTATACTTACTGCAGTAATGTATTATGCATGACAATTTCAACCCATAGTTTTGAATGGAATCTTATTGCTTATTTGTTTCAATGTCGTTATACCCATTTTATGCTTCCACCTTTAAACTGGATTGTAGGTATCTCTTTACTTTTCTGTAGGAGTATTTTGTGTTATAAAAGCCATACAAACTTAACTGCAACGTATTAGATGGAAGGGGTTCCCACCTTTTATTTTTCTCTTGGTGGTTTTATACATTCGTGATTAATGATTGTGTTTCTTTTTTCTGTCCCTGAATAAATATTTCTAGCTGTATAATAACTTTGACAAAAGCTTCAATGAAAGGAAAAAAAAAAGGTAAATTATTCTCTCTGGGGTTATGATGAAGAAGCTTCTGTCTGCTAGTGAATTCTTTGGTTGTTGTTTAGTAATCAGTCATTGTTCTTATTCGGTCAGCCTAACAGGATTACAGGAATGCGTTTAACTTAACATATTGTTGTGCTTAACATATTATAGTCGACGTTCTAAAAGTATTTAGGCACTAAGCAGGCAGCAGAGTGAAGCTTGCACACAGGGAGACATGAAGGATTAGTTGGAGTTTAATCGGGAGAGATGTAGGAAATATCTGCAGAAACGATATTAGATGGAAATATTCTGTGGAAATCTCATTCTTTTTTGTATCCCAAATCATTGCTTGATGTAATGCATGATTGAGTTTTATTGGAATATTTTTCACTGTTTACCTAGCTGTCTGTTGTCTAACAGTCTCTCTCCCCCCCCCCCCCCNCCCCCCCCCCCCCCCACACACACACTTTCTTCTCTCATGTGTGTGTGTGTGTGTGTGTTTTGTAGTCAAATTCTCTGTCTTAGTTAGCGATAGTGACATTTTTCAATGATGAGCAGGCCAGAGATATAGTGTAGTTCTGCCAGAGAAATTGCAAACAGGAAAATGGAATGTGTACAGGTAGGAATTGTACCCTCTTACTTGTGCATACCTCATATCTCATCGTTTAACCTATTTCTGAATTTGTTTCCATAGAAATCTGCTTTTCACATTTGTACTGGTCATCTCATCACAGATCTGCACGTTCTCCTTTGAAGCTCGTCGACAGAATCCCAGAACAACCAGAGATTGGCACATTGCATGATAACTTTGTGTGAGGATTTTCACCTGTTCTCCTTGCACTATTATGTTTGTCTTTACATAAATATTCTACTATATCTTACTTTATGGCTTATTACACGTGTTTAGTTAGTATCTGTGCTTTCCATCTTTATCTGATGCTTAACTCAAAAGCATCATCTTCCATTATCTAGTTTTTCAAAGTATTTTTTCTTTATAATTTTATTGGTGCTTTCAGACATGCAGTTGAAAATTTCCAAGACTACAAATATCTGGGTACACGTATACGGGTAGATGGTACAGTTGGAGAGTAAGTATTTTGGTAAAATGATATTTTCTTAGGTTGTCAGCATATTAAATGGCAAAACTGATGTTTATTTTTTATTCTCCTTTTTTGTTCTTTCCTGCATTTTTGCAATGAGCAGGTACAAATGGATGACATATGGAGAGTCAGGTAGTGCTCGATCAGCAATAGGTTCGGGACTTCGCCATCATGGATTACAATCAGTTAACAACTCACTCTCTCTCTCTCTCTCTCTCTCTCTATATATATATATATATATGATCTGAATTCATTAAGTTTCTAATTTGTCAAAATACATTGTGGAAATGATAAATCATGTGCTAGACTTGTTTTGAGCAGCTTTCAAAAAATATGTAGACCACCAATTAATGGATGCTTGGTTGTATTTTTTTCAATTATTTAATGGTTTTCTTGTGTATGGAGACATTTGCCTATCTAAATTATGCATGATGTTTCTTTTATGAAAAATGTTTACATGAATATTGATTTGTTACAGATAGTGAAATGTCAATATTTTCCTGACAGGGAGCTCGTGTTGGACTTTATTTTATTAATAGACCAGAATGGATAATTGTGGATCATGCATGCTCAGCATATTCGTACATTTCAGTTCCTTTATATGATACCCTTGGTATGTTGGTTTGCACGCAGTTGAGCCTTCCTTATTCTTAGTCAACTACTCCGATAACTTGTAATGTTTTGTGGGGCATCAACAGGTCCTGATGCTGTTAAGTATATTGTGAATCACGCTGACATACAAGCCATTTTTTGTGTGCCAAGTACCTTAAACACCGTAAGTCTGTTTATTTTGCTTGAAGTGGCCAGGACAGACCATTGCATATATTGTTGATTGAGTTTTATTGCTATGAACTGCCAATTTTAGAAGGATGACAAAAAAGCTGCTTTGGAGAATGTTGATTGTTCTATTATGTACATAGTCTCTGCACTTTACCTATGGTAACAGAACTTGAGAACAAAAACCTGAAATAGCTGTATCAATGGTATCATTTTCATGTGTGCACGTAATTCACTGTTGTTACGATTGATGACAATGCCATGAACATCTATTGTTTGCTGTTATGTCACCTCGATTTCCTTTTATGATGTACTACTTAAAAAAATAGCTGGTAATTATAATTTCTTTTAATATTATCTAAATCAGCAGGATTTTCATTCCAGTTAATATTTATGATTGCAAGTAGTTCTTGATATATACTTATTCTTTTTTCTTAAACTTGCAGCTGCTAAGCTTCCTGTCCGAGATTCCTTCTGTACGCGTAATAGTGGTATGCAAACACGGATCTTCTTTTTAACTATTGATCTATACAAACATCTTCCATATTTCTGTTTCTTGACATGTATACTCGATAACATAGGTGGTGGATGGGGTAGATGAACATCTCCCATCTCTACCTTCCACTACAGGAGTTGAGCTTTTATCGTACACAAAATTACTAAGTCAGGTACGTGCATTATCTTGCTAGTCTTGAGTGTTTTGATACTGTTAAATTAGTACTTCTATTTTAATATGGCATACAGTCACTGTAAAGGTTTTATGGGTTGCACTTTGATTTTCCTTTTGTAAAATGTGATTGGATGTTGACAATTTTTTGTTGTGTCATTCGTATAAACAAGTTGCATAACTTATATTTACACTGAATAGAACCCTATATTATCTAGAGAAGTACACACCTTCTTTTATCTCCCTTCCAAGAAACATTTAATGTTGCTTCTGTCCTTTTGTGCTTGCACCTGATTCCTAGAGGGGTGCTACGGATGGGTTGGTTTCGTGGTGAAAAATTTTGCTTTTTAGATGTGCTGAATGAGAGACAAAGTAGTGATTACCCTAGGATTCTGGTTATATAGGATAATAGGAATATGTGTAGTCCTGGATGGCATCAGCGAGTCTTGAACTACTTATGAATCATATGCATAGAAGACTCAGTATTATAATGATAACTGGCATTTTACTTTGGATCTCACAATTCTGCTGTCTGTAAAAGTAACTTGATAGGGCTTTACCCCTGATTCTGTATTGGTAATGATAATTTGTTTCCCCAATGACATTGCAGGTCAAATTTTCATTGGAAAGCATGTAGTTAATTCCCTGTTATCTATACCCAATCCTTCCTGCTATTTGAGAGTTTTTTGTTTTTTGTTTTTTGTTTTTTGTTTCTCCCTTCCAATAAGTTCTCTAACTGTTATGGACTTGTCCATATTTCTGCTTTTATTTTTAGATTCAAAAAATAATCAACTGTAATTATGATCTATTGCTGTTACTGATAAATTATAGTCAGCAGATGATAGTTGAAGTATTTAGGGGGTGATTGTTTATGGATTGAACTAGTTTTTATTTGGTTTGGTTTTTAACTATAGTTATTTTCGAAAAAATGTGGTATGGTTAGTTGTTAGTGGATATATTAAAATAATATGTAAATGAAATAATTAAAATTGATTTGATGTAAAATAGGAGAAAAATGATTGGAAGTGATGGTTAGTTAAAATTATGTGAGTGGATGAATAGTGAATTAAAGTTGATAATATTGAGGATAGTGGAGTTGGGTTAAAGTTGAGTTTTGATTGGTTTTTTTTTTTGGATTAAATTGGTAAACAATCACCCCCTTAATATCTGCAATTGTTATTTATTCAGGGTCGCAGTAACCTACTTCCATTTTGTCCTCCCAAACCCGAAGACATAGCAACTATATGCTATACAAGTGGTACGACAGGGACACCAAAGGTAGCAGCTTCAGCTTTCCGAGCTTTAGTACTTTCAGTTGAATCCCTGTTCAAAATGTTTATGTAATTATAAATGTAATGCATTCTTCTTTTCCCCTTCTCTCAATAGGTAGCAGCTTCTGCTTTCCGATCTTTATAGTTTCGGTTGAATCCCTGTTTAAATTGATTTTGTTTTTTCAAATGTATGCATCCTTCTTTTTTCCCTTCTTTCTGTAGGGAGTTGTACTGACACATGGAAACTTGATTGCAAGTATTGCGGGAATGACCCTTGTAATCAAATTTAATTCCTCTGACATGTGAGTTGTCTTGAATTATGATTAGTTGCATCCTGTTTCCATCCTAATTTACGGACCACTATTATTTTATAAGCAGTTACATATCCTATCTTCCCCTGGCACACATCTATGAACGAGCTAATCAGATTATTTCGGTGTATTACGGCGTTGCTGTTGGCTTCTACCAGGGGGTATGTACTTCGATTATGTGTTTTTATCTGAGGTTTTGTTTATATAATACTGGGAGTCAAAAGGGTTTTTGTGCTATCTAGAGGTTCATGATTCCACTGTGGTGTGATAAGCATGTCTTTTGCAATTTTTATTTGCTTAAGTCAATCGAGAGCTTTTAATGTTAAGGCGTGCTACTAATCTGCAGGATAACCTGAAATTGATGGATGACTTGGCTGCTCTGAGGCCCACTATTTTCTCCAGTGTTCCTCGTTTATACAACAGAATATATGCTGGGTACAATCCATCAGATGACTTTCATCTCTGTTGTCCTCGAAATTATTATTTTCTTATTCGGACTGTTCTTGTAGGATTACAAATGCTGTGAAAACTTCTGGTGTTCTGAAGGAGAGGTTATTTAATGCGGCATACAATTCCAAGAAGCAAGCTGTAATGAGTGGTACGGTTGATAAGTATCTGGGATTGTCAAATTCCTTAGAGTTCTCCTTTTGGTGACACCTTTTTGAAGCCTTATAAATTAACTTAAATTAAACCTATTAAATGTTATCATGGATTGAATCTTGGCCTGGGAAAATATGTGACCAAATAATGTCGCTCATAGCCTCATAGGACCTTGCTTTAGTTTTCCTTTGCTACATATTGTACTTATCTTCTTTGTAAAGCTTATATGCGGTGTTTCTCTGGGTTTCTTTTAACGACATCAAAATGGAACGACCTACTTCTGTTAAGTACGACACGTGGCAATACTTATTTCAAAAAATGACTAGTTATGAAATGGTACAACTGACAGACATTTGATTATGCGCCTTTCATGTTCTTTCCTTGTCATTTTTATGGAACTACGTGTTCACGTTCTCATTGTTGCAAATCGCAACCATCTTCTTTAAATAGGGCGAAAACCATCACCAATGTGGGACAGATTGGTGTTCAATAAAATAAAGGACAAGCTTGGAGGCCGAGTCCGTTACCTGACTTCAGGTGCTTCACCATTGTCTCCTGATGTGATGGAGTTTTTGAGGGTGTAAGTTGAATATATTTATTGACATTCAATCTTTCTGGAGATGATCATGGTACATTCACTCTTCTAAAAATTTTCATCCACTTGCAGGTGTTTTGGATGCCAAGTGATTGAAGGTTATGGCATGACAGAGACTTCTTGCGTCATTAGCTCTATGGAAGAGGGTGACAACTTAACAGGTCATGTTGGTTCCCCCAATCCTGCATGTGGTAAGTTAGAACTTTTTTTTTTGTTTAATATCATTAGTGTGTAAAACTCTTATGATGTCAAATTTGTTTAACTTCCTTAGTGGGAATATTTAATAGAAGGATTGTGAAAAAAAAAAAGGGTTAATTGCATTAAAAATCACCACCTTTTGTTAAATTGCGAAAAAAACTCAACCTTTTCATTTTAGCAAAAAAATTACAAACCTTGTTTAATTTTTGCAATTGTGTCTCGAACATAATTTCCGGCCAAAATTTAATGACGTGGCGATCGGAAAAATGACATGGCACCTTCCACCTCACACGTGATCCAAGTCACCTTCCACCTAATATAGATCGGCTCTTTTCCTCCCTCACCATTCTTACGCCGCATCACAGAGAAAAGAAAAAGGAACGAGGCGATTTCTTCTCCTACCGATTTCTTCTCCTTTCTTCTTCCATCCAGCGATTTCTTCTCCCTTCTTCTCCGCTCCAGCAATTCGAGTAGTGCGAATTCATGGTTTGACCTCCAGCGATTCTCCAGATCTTGATTGGTGAAGGTTGTTCGAGCCACATAACCCTAAATGGAGAATGGGTAAATGGTTTTTTCACTAATCTTTTTTTTTTTCTTTTTTTTTTGAGTTCATATTCTGCGATGAATTTGATAATGGAAAAACCTTGCACAGCTCCTCTGTTTTTGAGAAATCTGCTAACCTCAATCTTCATCCATGTCGACAAATCCCTCCTCGGATCCACTTAGCGCCAAAATACGCGCTGCTCCAAACCCTACGCTCCATCCTCGCCTCCTTTTTCCTCTTCTCCCTCAGCCTTTTGCCCTTTCTATTCTCCTCTTTGACCCCTGACCGCAAAGAATCGGCCAATTAACCTCCGAAATCGGCGAAAAGAGACCTCTACGCCTCCACCGCTGGCAGAGATTCCGAAGTTTCCAGGGCTCTGTCGCAGCTGCTGCTGATAATGAGCGAAATTCCGGTGAGCTCGAGGAAATACGAAGTTGTTAGGTCTCTGACCGAGAGTCTAATCGACGAGAATTTGTCCGAGGCAGTCAGGTTCTGAGGGAGGTCAACTGTGCCGTTCTCTTATCTGCGTTCGCGAGGTCGCTGCGCCAGATCGAGTGTGAAGTGTAAAAAGGTGTCCGATGACGTGACATGAAGTATTGAGTTGGCGTGCCATGTCATTTTTCCGATCGCCACGTCATTAAGTTTTGGCCGGAAATTATGTTCGAGACACAATTGCAAAAATTAAACAAGGTTTGTATTTTTTTTGCTAAAATGAAAAGGTTGAGTTTTTTTTGCAATTTAACAAAAGGTGGTGATTTTTAAGGCAATTAACCCAAAAAACAAAAAAATATAGACTGAGGTTGTGTTACAGCATTTAGATGAGCACATGAAGCATTTCTTGTGGAACTGATTTCTGGTCTCCAGAAATAAAGCTTGTGGATGTGCCTGAGATGAATTATACCTCTGAGGATCAACCACATCCTCGTGGGGAGATCTGTGTCAGAGGGCACACAGTGTTCCAAGGCTATTACAAAGATGAAGTCCAGACGTAAGTATCTGTGTGATGTCATCATGTTTGGACTGCCTGACTTTATTTTGATGGAAAAAGTTAGTTGATCTTTCTCAATATGTACAGGAGAGAAGTAATGGATGATGAAGGCTGGCTGCACACAGGAGATATTGGATTATGGCTACCTGGGGGCCGCCTGAAAATCATTGATAGGTGACTATCCGTTTGTTGAACTATGATCAACCTTTTCCTTTTTATAATAGTAATAATGATAATAATAATAATAATAAGCTTGCTGCTGGTAAGTCTGTAAAGACCTTAGTTTTGAAAAAAGAGGAAGATTTTAAAATCGATATTTGGGCATCATTTCCTTTCCCTTTCAAGTTGTTCTCCTCCCCCTCGAAGAATTTCTGTGGATGCTAAAATGTCTTCTTAGGGGAACGGCATTCTGTTTGCTTATAGCAAACGCTTTTTGTTTCCTCATTGTCAACAGGAAAAAGAACATATTTAAGTTGGCCCAGGGTGAATACATCGCACCAGAGAAAATTGAGAATGTGTACGCAAAGTGTAAATTTGTTGCGCAGTGCTTTGTGTATGGTAAGAAAAATATTATTATTTGTTTCCTATGCAAAAATAATTTAATGTTTTCTACTGACGAAGGTCATGCCTATAGGTGATAGCTTGAACTCATGCCTTGTTGCTGTAGTCTGTGTGGAACCAGATGTTTTGAAAGATTGGGCAGCATCAGAGGGTATCAAGGTAACTTTACCCGTCCACTTGTTCTGTCATCAGATCCCTTTCCTGTATGTTGTTCTTTGGAATTCTGCTGCCCTTCACCTTTGTATATGATATGCACCCTATATCCCATTTCCCCTCAACTTCACTTCTCTTTTTGTGCCAAGTGATGGTAAATTCTTTTAGGAGCCCTTCTAAGTGGAATCTTTGAAAAAAGGGATTCTTTTAACCGAATCCTTCTCAGATTAATTGGTCAATGTTGGAATTAATGTGAATAAGGTTAATACTAGAAACACTGGGTATTGTTTTGAATTGATTCTATGAAGTGCATTAAATGATTTCTCCCAAGCTTTGTGAAAATAAAGAAATGAAACTCTCTTTTCCAGACTGAAACGATTATCTGCTTTTGTCTTCTCCATCTCGCAATGCACAACTTTTGGATTTTCACAAAACTCCTGACTCGTAACTACAAGGAGCAAAAATGTCTTCGAGGAAAAGAGATTTTTTTTTTTTAACAAAATCAGTTTTGTTATTTATTTGTTTTCTCGAAGTTTCATTAGGTAACTATTAGAAATAGAAACAGTCTCAACCATGTACTCCTGGTGCAGTATGAAGATTTGGGGCAACTGTGTGCTGATCCAAGAGCAAGAGCTGCTGTACTTGCAGACATGGATGCTGTCGGCAGGGAAGCTCAGGTTAGTATAATTCAAGTAGATACCTATTTTTTAATTATCTTTGGGAGTCTCTTGATGTTAATATTTTTTCCACAGATGAGAGGTTTCGAATTTGCCAAAGCCGTGACACTAGTGGTTGAGCCGTTCACTCTAGAAAATGGCTTGTTGACTCCAACATTTAAGGTATAATAAACTTGTACTCACGCTCTTAGTCCCGGAAACCACTAAGAAAAAATTTACCATGTTTAGTGAGTGATTTTGGAGGAGATTATGGCTATGTTTGGTAAATCTATGGTAAGTGTAGCTGAAAAGCTAGCTTATAGCTTTTAAGTGAATTTCGAGCTTAGCTAGCTTATAGCTTTTAAGTGAATTTCGAGCTTATAGCTGATAACTTATGACTTATGGTTGAAAAACTAGCTTATATGATAAAAATGTTTGGTAAAATTAGCTTATATGAAATAAAAATTTCAATAGACTTATTTAAAAAGCTATCCAAAGAAGCTTATAAGATAAACTCGAGCTTTTTAAAAAAGTTCGTCCTACCAAACAAAGCTTATTATTTGAATACAAGAAGCTTATAATCTAATTAAATAAGCTATAAGTTGGTTTATATGCTTACCAAACACAACCTATAATATACAAGATTCGACAGGCTATATTCCTCCTTTTCGTCAGTAATTTGAAATCTATGCTTGTTTGCTTTGTAAAATTTTCAGATCAAAAGGCCCCAAGCAAAGGCCTACTACGCGCAAGCAATAGCTCATATGTATGCCGAGCTCTCAACATCCGATCCAACACCACAAAAGATGTTGTAACAAACGGGTCTGATAGAAGAATATAGAAAGGTCTCCATGCCCGTGAAGCCGTTTTAATAAAGAGAGATGTGAATTGCTGAGGATGATGTTCTTAGCGTCTAATGGCTGTATGATTTTTGTGCATTATTCAATAGTCAATTTAATTTCAAGTTTTCTGATCCTATGTAAGTGGAAATGAACATAGAATTAAGTTCTCGATTCATTTCTGGTTGGCAACTCCATCACTTAAATAAAATTTGGTCAGGGAATATACAAATGGTAGCGAAATTCAAAGTTAAAAGAGTTTTAACCGTCGGATCACATTTTCATGTCCACCCCTCGTGTAGATATGTGTTGGTGAATAAAACCCCGTGGGGTAGTGCCCACTTCTAGATGGAGTGTTCACATTAGACGAATTAGGTGAACCCTACATAATGTTGGTACTAGTCATTTTTCTTTTCCTTTAAATTTTAATGCTCAGTTTACGAAAAAAAAATTGCTCTCCATGATCTTCTTTGATCTCACGATAATGCTCCTGATGGTTTCGACTATTGACCCGTGCATCAGATTTTTATTTTTATTTTTTTTTATTTTTTTTACTTTTTCCGCCCACAATTAAAATGGTTTTTGAAAAAAAATTTAAATGCATTTTGTGAAAATACGCTCATTTGAACTAATGACATGACTTTGCTTAGCTTGATATAGACGTACATATTTTAGAAACGAAATGGTTCACAAATGAGCCGATTCAATAATATACATGGAACATTAATGACCTGTCAAATACAATATACCGATTCAACATTTTTACTGATGACATCAACATAAGAAGTAAAATAAAAGCTTCTTGAAGCATCTCTGAGCTCATAGACCAAGCACGCTCCCACTTTTTTAATCACCCAAGCAAGTGCATTGTGAAGACATGTCAAAACAAGTCAAGCTCAAGATTTCTCTAATGAATAAAAATTTAATTCAATAATTCTTGTACAGATACCAAATACTTCATATATTACAAATGCAGTGCAACAGCAATTAATACAGGGAACTCATGATAAACATCCCAAACTGTGTAAATACTATTCACAAACACCTCACTTGTATCGATTCAGCTAGTTGGAAGCTTCCTAATCCAATCTTATATTTCACTTATTCACAAATAACCTGATAATCATACGCAAACCTTTTTAATTCTTTTCCTTCCATCAGCAAGGTGCAGAAAACATGAATGTGGCAAACCTGTTCAAGCGACCACTCGGAGGTGTAGGTTTAACACTCTATATTAAGTGTCAATCTATGATGCAACTGAACATGAACTTGAATAGGGTCAATTAAATTATGTGTATCAGGGCTTTACGAGAGGCCTCGTATTATCCCAAAGCCATTGATATGCTGAACCTTCCAATAATGGAGAAACCTGGTGATAAAGAATGAAAATTTGAAAATGAATCGTGTTTAAGTTCAAATTTAGCCTGTAGAGTTGTGGGAATATCCGATTATAGCTCTATTGTAGAGACTTCAGGTTAGTGGTTTTGGCGAAACACTAATCAATCAAGGTGCAAAGGTCTTTTTTTTTCTTTCTTTTTTTCTTTCATGCAAAAAAAAAAAAAAATGTTACAAATGGGCTCACCTTCTCCCAGACTTGTTTGTGGTAATCATTTAACCACTCTATTTCACTCGTAGAAAGTAGTGACATGTCGACTAGCTTGGTCTGCACGTCGTGAAGAAACACAGAACCAAAGATAATTATTTAATGTCATGTTTAAAGATCACATTCCACAGTGAGATGAATATGTGGAGCAAATACGACATAATTTCATGTTGAAGTTATACCACCAAAGAAAGAATGTAAGATGCATTAATATTAAAACACTATAGATTAGCCACAAACAATTTACAGCCTATATAGGTAGCAACAGAATTAATGATCCCCATCACATATCAGTTGTGGAGGAAGAGTGTCTGAATAATTCATAAAGCCTCGAGCAGCTCCAACTATTTTACAATAATTGTGATATCCAAAAGTCAAGTTGGACGTGCAGGCTTAGCCGGATATACCACAAAATGACATATTGTAGTCGTTGTAAAAGGATATTTTCATATCATAGCCTTCGAATAAGATAATGCCTTCTAAGTGTATACATGTGGTAAGAAATAAACTATAGCAGAAACTGCTTTAAAAAAGATAGAAAATTAACCAAAATTGACAAGTAAGGAAAGGAAGCTTCTAAAAAACAGAAACTTTGTGTGTATTGATAGAACCTGATCTTAACAGAAAGTTGGAATACCTGAATAGGAACAAATGTAAGCTTTTCAAATCCCAGGTAATCCACTCCTCCAAAGCGATTTGGTGTATTGATCTCTTTCACGTAAAGAAGATTCTGGATGATAACAATTGGAAAAAATAAAGTACAAGAACCAATTAGTAAAGAGGTTTAAAAAAATGCTTGGTGGATGGTTCTTTTTGGGGCCCTGCTCCATTCAACATGTGAAAGGTTTAAACAAAATAATAATTTTTATGTCTAGGAAAACCAGAAGTCCATTTTATCAAACCTAAGTAACTAAAATTTGTATGCCCACTTATTTCATCTTTTGCTTTTCTTTTTTTCTTTTTTCTTTTTTCTTTTTTTTTTTTTATCAGACAAATGGATGGACACTTCATATATAAAAATAAAAGCCTACATAAATGTTGAAGAGGATATTTGCATAATAGTACAGTTCGAGAAAAGATGATTACATACTTCGATCCTAATACCAAATGCATGATCTTCATAGTATCCTGGTTCATTACTGACAACCATGCCTTTCAGCAATGGAGTCATGTTGCTAAACCGGAAGCTTATACTTTGAGGGCCTTCATGAACATTCAGTGCAGCTCCTACACCATGACCAGTACCTGAAGTATGGATGGGAATTCATTAATTCAGCACACGCAACGTCAAAATAACAAACTCCAAGAAATCTAATATAATAGGAAATAATACCATGACGGTAATCAAGACCGATCTTCCACAGTGATGATCTTGCAAAGGCATCTAATACAAAACCTGGGTAATTTTCTGGAAAAACAGCCTGATCAAGCGCAATATGACCCTGCGGAAATCATTAACCGTCATTATCTCATACCTGAGTCCTATAGAGTTTTAGTTTAGTAGAATGACAAGAACTAAGAAAGACAGTACAACCTGTCAAGCACTGAACAACATTTACCAGAAACTACTGATTGCTATTTGAAAAGATACTAGTTATTGGTTTATGTTTGAAGAAACAATTATGATACCTATGAAAATCTTAATAGTAGCAGAGAGGTATATGTATTTCTCTTCTCTTCACATATTCAACTCAATTAAACGTAGATGAAGTTTTAACATATCGACCCTTGCAAGTACTAGGAATAGCCAGAATATGTTTAAATCCACAAACAAATTTGGTCTATTAGGTTAATATAAGAAAGAAACGGCATGCTGGTATGTTAGAAGATAAGATTGGTGGAAGTGATAATGTGTGGAGAGGGTTGGAGTTCAATTCCTAGTGGAACTGTTAACATACGATTTCGATATCTGTGTCTCTTTCTTCAAATAACTTACACATTGCCAAAGCTGGGAAGAACCCATCTAATCTTACCAATTTATGAATTGCAATTGCATTGAATTTCAGGTAAAATACCAGTCATTCACGGTAGACTCACAGCAACTTGCCCTATTCACCTCACAGCACAAGTCCAAATTTCTTTTCTAGCAAGTCATCATGTCCAAAGAAATTAGCATTTTTAAAGCATTGATCTTAGCAGAGTATTTCCTAGTTAGTGACAAGGTATACAGGTGAGTAAATTGTAGAACTATCTTAACTAAAGAGTCATTTCATAAATGTATTTGTACTACGACTGCCAGACTTTTCCAACTCATGTCTGTCTTCTAATTGTATCTGGATCAAGAAATCTATTAAAGAGAATCTGAAGCCATCATATTATAGAAATGTTTACAGAAAAGAGCCTTTAAGTTTTGCTTGCTGCTTTTCATTTTAACAGGATTACTCAAAGTTTCTTAAACCCAGGCAGATCGCAATTTGAATCTATTCACAGAGATACTTGCGACAAAAAACTTATGCGTTGTTTTATTGCATGCATGTGATATAGTAATAACTTGATCATTCACCTGCCTCTATTCTTGAGTGCTTTCTTTTAGGACTTGACATCTATTGTGGAAGATCTGCCTATATCTTTTATATACTGAAAGTAAATAAAGATATCACTGAGATTGCCACGAAGGCACGAGGTGGAAGAACAATGAATTGGTCTCTTGACATCAATTCGGTCTCTTGACATCAATTTAGATATTTATTATTCTTTTTAATGTTATTTTTAACAGAGAGGTGATTAAGCAAAATGAATAGCAAATAATGAACACTACCTGAAGCACTCTGGTAAAACATTCTTTTTCCCGTGAAGAAGGTTGACCAAAATGTACAGTCCGAGTAATGTCAGTAGTTCCATCAATATATTGTGCTCCACTGTCCAATAAAAACAATTTCTCAGCATCCACTACACTGCAGTTGCTAGGATCCGCTCTGTAGTGTATGATAGCACCATTTGCACCAGAACCTGCGAAAAACATTTGGCACTGTAAGTCCCAGAGAGGAAAATATATAAAACAGTGAAACAATTCAGTAGAATATTTAGCACATAGGATGTATGCAACTCCTGAATTGACGAGACACCTGAAGCTCATAACACAACTCATCTAACTCAAAGCTAAAAGTCAAAAGAAATCTGTTTGATTAATCACATATGATGCAGAAGATTGGGAATAGAAGTCTACCAAACCAGTCTAAATGCCAGAAGGGGGGGATGATGGTGAGTGGAGTGGCTTTGGTAGCTAAAAAAAAAAAGAAAGAAAGAAAAAGAAAAAGAGAGATGTAATATTGTCAATTTTTAAAATGACATTTCTTACCTCAAATGTCTATTAGAAGTTCTATTTATGACTAACGAGTATGTGTGTGTGGGTGTAATAATATCGAGTTCAAGATTTTTCTTAAGGGAAAAGAAAATAATATAGGTTTCCAATATCATTGAGTTCATGAAAGACTGTTCTGTACCAGAATCTCCCACAGCCCTAGGTGGCAATTTAGAAGTGTCAAGATGTCACAGGTAATTGAAAACTATGGCAAGTTTTCTACTTATTATACTTATGGATTTATATTTTCAAAAGTTGAGCAACAAAGATAAATTCAAATTTTCTGCCATCCTTGTACAGGCCTATAAAATATTCACGTTCTAGCTAAAGAAATTTGCATCAAGCTTGGCGCCTGACAATGAAAATACCATATGTAAGGTTGTTAAGACTATTACAGTATTACATACCACTTATACTATCAAAACTTGTGTCCACGAAACCATCTTGCCTAGAACGGACTGCAAGAATAGAAATACAATATGTAAGGTCTGTTAAGACTATTACATACCACTTATAGTATCAAAACTTGTGTCCAAGAAACCATCTTGCCTAGAACGGAACTCAAGAAGTTTGTCCGCAACATCTACTTCGGTCAAAATAACACCCCTGCTGATTTCCTCCTCTAGCCATACCCAGAATTGCGCTAGAGCCGCTGCATCTCTGCATAAGATCAGTCATTATAATTAAATACACGAAAACATTTCTCTCTATCTAGTTAATCAGTTCATAACATTGCATATAATAATGCTATAGAATAAAAGTACTTTTGCCAATATTTTAAAGAATACATTCCGGCCATAAACTAAATAAAACAGCGACTTGAATGATAAAATTTAAATCGTTATTATTAATACAAAACTCAAAAACCTCAAAGGGTTTGTTTCATCAACCCTCATAAGGAATAGTTTGTTTTTTTTCAAACGAACCTCAGACTTCGAGGAACGAAGACAAAATAAAAAATAAAAAATTATACAATGAAAAAATGGTCCTGTAACGTAAATGGCTATAAGAAAATATTAAAGGGATAAATGGATAATTTGGAGTTATAACTATGCCATGTTCAAATATTTACTTCTAATATCAAAAGGCTGACTATCTAACACTGGCAATTCCAATATCACACAACCTGCGCAATAGTGAGCAAGGATAAACTTTGTACATATATGTATTCAAACGTACATTTTATATCATTAAAAAAAAAAAACACGATTTGCAGCTGCAATCACCTTAGATGAGAATTACGCATTCCTTGCAATTCAGCTTCATTTTTCACAGCTTTGGCCAGAGAAATAGGCGAGCTCTTACAGATAGCAGTGGGTCCACAAGAATGGCCATCATGACTAGCTGACAATGTCTCCTTACTTTGATCGACAATTCCAGCAGTGCCAAAGTACTTTTCACAGGCCGTTTTATAAGTATTTACTATAGCAGCACTAACGGATGATGTGTCCAACCAAAGGCAGGCACCTATTGCAGCCAAACTGCAACACAAAATATACACGGGTATTTGTTTAGAGAAACATTTGGCATACAACTTAGGCAAGTGAATTTTATAATGTGAGCTCCATTCTCCAACACTATCCTCTATCAATTCACATTTTTCCTTATGTATTTTTTTCCCCATCTTCTGTTTTCTTCTTTACGTCTATTATTATGCAAAGTAGATTCTTCCAGTTCTTGTTCAAGTATTAAGTTCCTTATAGGATCACTAAGAATTAAATTAAAAATGCTGAGCAACCCTTTATGAAGTTGGAGAGAAGACAATTAAGTGCCACCATTGCGCATTATAACATTGCTGAACAGCTGAAGTAGGAGTGTCTAGAAGAAAACAGAACAGCACAGATGGAGATAACGAGTTCGAGTGTCATATACAGAACATGTTTCAAGTGGCGCCTCTTAAAGATATAGGATCTAAGGATTAAATTAAAAAAGCTAAGAATCCCTTAATTAAATTGGAGAGTAGACAATTAACTGCCACCATTGTGCAAGTAGGAGTTCTAGTCGAAGCTGCAGAATAGAACAGATCGAGATACAAGTGTCATATTCAGGAAATGTTCAAAGTGGCGCCTCTTAAAGATATATTACGCACATATGCACGGCCAACAGTGAAACTCTATTGGATACCGTCTAGGTTATGATTAAATGAAAATGGCATAATTAGTCGAGTAAAAAAGGCCAATAGTGAACAATCTAAATGATACTACCTGGGTTGTGGTTAAATGAAAATGGCATAATATGTCAAGTAAAAAACATTTCGATGTTTTATATTCAGATTAGTTTATGAGGCGTTTATGTACAGTGTTTAGATATTCAATTTTTAGTTTCATTAACGCATTGAGTATAGACTACAAGTTTTCTGCCGCTGAGAGAAAACGGAGCACTTTAGTGGTGTAGAACTCAGATCTAATACAAACAAAAGACAGCAAAACTCCATTGAACTAACCTTCCAATATGGGAAAGAATAGAATCATACGGTCTCAACTCTATTCCAGCAGCTTCCAAATAGTGCATAACATCCGGCTTGACTTTGTCGTCATCTATGAATAGTATTGCTCCATCAATCTCCACGACCAAATAAGCGTACATGACTGGTGAATGTGGGACGTCACTACCTCTCTATTAATTAATGTAGCATGTAAAATGTCAGAATACGTCAACAAGTAAATTCCAACAAACTTAAAACACGACTTTGGTTTTACAATAAGAAAAGAAACCAGAACGCAAGGGTACTGATAGATGTAGCACCGAGTGAAAGCAACTCTAAAATTGCTCTCTTGGACACCCGTTAATCGGTTAAAATCAAGGACAGGATGTAATAATTACTATATCAACTTCGGAGGCTCAGATCAAAAGATAATGAGTCAAGGAGTATGCCAAGACAACTACTGACTGGAGTGGGGAGCACCCCCGGTTTTAGCAAGCTAGCAAAAGAAGTACAACAACACAAAACTCATATTCCCCATCTCATATGAAATGATAAGATGCTGCTATTTGTATCTTTCCCTATCCAAAATCACACTACTTTGTTTTTTTCTCAGGTGGAGATAGTTAACTGATTTTATAGTTCAAGTGAACAAATACTGAGGTTTATGAAAGCACAGACAGAGAAAAAAGCTTACTGATTTACCAAGTTCAACAGCCATGCTATCTCATCCAGCATTGTGATAACAATCGCAGATGAACCAGCATTAGCCAGTTCAGATCTCAATGAACTTAGCTTGGATGACACGTCTACACCAGCATATTTCAGGTCATGCAGCCTAATATGCCTATTTGGACGCTTTGGTCTAGAGTCCTTCCATATCTCATCCACGAGATTGACATCATACAAGTAGACTAACTCGTGGTTCTTCGTAGAGATGGCCTCTTTCAATTTTTCTGCAGCATCCGAAGAAAACAAGAACTGAACCCTTCACAAAAAGACCAAGCAAATGCGGCATGCTGGGATCAGGAAGTTGCAATGGACAAAATAATGAATAAGAAATTTCATATCAGATCATATTGATGTCAGAACTGCAGAAATAGGAGTGTAGCAAACTGAATATTTAACATGTGCAACACCCTGAAAATCTGCTCGACTTAACAAAATATATGTCATTGATCTCTTCTTATTGTCTAAATTTGATAATAGTTCTGGAAAAAAAATGTGTTCTAGTTGTCAAAGGAAAAAAATAAATAAAGTTAACTCTGTACCCTCTCCTTATTTATATAATTATTCCATCTTGGATAATTATAATACTACCAGTGACTTACCCCAAATCACCCAGCTATCCCACCTAAGCAAATTAGAAATGAGGCCTGGCCTGTAGAAGTGGAGGCAAGAAGATCTAGTATCAGGCTGCATCAGAAACGAACAGACTACAGAACTAGCACAAAGCCAAGCACAAAAATCGAGCAGAGTCTAAAAAAGCAGACATCTAATTTGTAATTCTTCCTAATTCTCAGGTACTACTGTCGGTTCACATTATCGGTCAAATGCGCCAGTCAGATACAAAGCAGTTCGCCGCCACTATTTTACATGAAAAGTTAGAGAAAAGGGAACTGAAATAATTATCCGGTATCAGGAGCCATGACAACATTAAACCACACAGACCAAAAACTAGAAAATGTACGCACAGGGTCTATGCCAATTCTGCTGCCGGGTGCCATGACACCATTAAGCCACTCACTTGTTGAGGGTACTCCAAGATTACCAGCTCTCATGAGAATCCAGCTTGAGTTTAACTGCTGCTCGGCCTGTTAGCAACAAGAAAGAAATATCACTCAAGTTACAACTCACAAGTAAAGCTAATCCACACATGAGCGAAAGAATGAGACCTATTGCCACCAATTCAGACCTGGAGGAAGTATCTTCCATCTGTCCAAAGAGCTGCTTTATTTTTTGTGACAACAGCAGTGCCAGCACTGCCAGTAAAACCTGATATGTATGCTCTCCTTGCATAACAGTCAGCAATGAACTCGCTCTGAGATTGGATATAAGAGTAATAAGAAACTGAAAATGCAACCAGTCACGTGAAAGTGCAAACTGAGTCTTCAACATGGAAGATCAAGGTTCTTCAAATAAAAAAGCTATACATTTCAATGCATGAAAGGGAAACTTTCCCGTGGATCGGTAAGAATTCCCGACACGAGGGCCAAATGTCAAACAAAATCCGCACATGCTAATTTACTTAATTTCGAATGAATACAAAAGCATTTTGGACTCCTAGACCAGCTAACCAACAACAAGAACTCTTTCAACACGTCAATACAAAGCTTCCTTTCCTCGAGGAGAACAACACAACCAGAAGCAAACGTGAACAAATAGGTGCAGAAAGTAAAAGCGAACACAAGTACTCGTGCACTAGTGCAAAAGACATGGAGCACGAAAAATCACTATACACAGAAATGGATACTAACAAATCTAAAGCTAAAATAATTAAAATCGACCAGAAGTAAAAGTTAGATCACTCGAATTTAGGCAAGACAAGATTAAAAGATTGGAGAACGTTCAAAAACAAAAAAAAAAAAAAAAATGCAAGGAAACCTGATGAGCGTCCTGAGAAGGAATGATATAGGCATCGATGTTGATGTTGGGCCTGGAAAAGATCTCGCGGAGGGCGACTAGCTTTTCGTCAGGCTCGGAGCTTCCGCGTTTCTTCTGCAGCTCCGATGAAGGCTTGGCGGTTATGGAGGCGGACAATCGGAGCCTGGGGTGACAGTGCAATTTGGTGGGAAATTTGGGGAGGCAAGTGATATTACGGCTAAATGGTGAAGTGACGGTGAGGAGGCTGAAGGCGCGGCTGCGAGCACAGAAGTTGGCGGTGGAGCGGGAAAGCATTCTGGCGGCGGAGTAACGAACGGCAGACTCCATACAGACGGTGCTTTCAGAGAGAGGGGATAAGGCGTCTGTCTGGTACAACCATTGCTTTTTGTCTCGCTTCACTCACGCAACTAATCTTAAGAGGTTGTATTCAATTGAGATTTTTAAGGACTTTTTAAAACTTTTTAAATTTGGTGACTTTTGTAGACTTTTTAAAACTTTCATGACTTTGGTAGACTTGTTGAGACTTTCAGAGAATTCTCATTAGTTACTTTTTAAGACTTTCATAATGAACTTTTTAAAACTTACTGAGACTTTTGTATACTTGTAGTTATAATATTATGTTTGGAAATGAAACATTAATAAACGTATATAATAACTAATATCAAGAAAAAATAAATGAAATTTTTTTTTATATATTAATCCTCTAAAAATTTATGAATCAACTCATTGTTATACGAAATGAGTTACTCACTAAGAAATTGTTTAGGATTTTTAGATTTATTAAACGAGCAAATCAATCCGAGCTTCAACGAGCCGAACTATGGAATATACAAATATTGTCGAAAAACAATAATTGTATTTTATAAAGTAATAAATAATTTTCAAAATAATTCAATATCAACAAATAAATTATTAGAAAATAAAATAATTTTATTAATATTAAAAAATAAACATTAACAAATAAAAAGAGAGAACAAATAAATTATTTGCAAGTGCAAACTATGGAAGCATTTAACCTTTAAAAAATCAAATTCGCAAGATAACAAAACGAAAGAATAAAGGTATACATACATAAAATAACAATAATAAAAAATATATAAAATAAAGATCACGTTAAATATAAGTAATGAAAATAAAAATTATACAAGGTATCAAAATAAATGATGAAAATAATAAAGCATGAAAGTGATATGGGATGTAAAACCGTGTTAGAAAGAAAAAAGAAAGGGAGCGTGAAGAGAATCACATAAGTCCAGCAAAATCTCACCAATATTGATGAGATTTCTGTTGGGACTCTATCTTTGTAATTTTGAGAGAAAAGTCTCTAAAAGTCTCACAATTTATAAAGTCTCACAAAGTCTTCATCTTTTGAATACAGGGTGACTTATAGAGACTCTCAGAAAGTTTTATTAATTGAATACCCTGAGACTTTTAATGACTTTTTAAAAGTTTTTAAAAGTCTCAATTGAATACATGTAAACTTTTCAGAAGTCTCTAAAAGTTCTAATTGAATACACCAGGATTCTGAAAGTCTTAAAAAGTTTATAAAAGTTGAAATTGAATACACCCCTAAAACTTTCTGAGAGTCTCTATAAGTCACCCTGTATTCAAAAGATGAAGACTTTGTGAGACTTTATAAATTGTGAGACTTTTAGAGACTTTTCTCTCAAAATTACAAAGATAGAGTCCCAACAGAAATCTCATCAATATTGGTGAGATTTTGCTGGACTTATGTGATTCTCTTCACGCTCCCTTTCTTTTTTCTTTCTAACACGGTTTTACATCCCATATCACTTTCATGCTTTATTATTTTCATCATTTATTTTGATACCTTGTATAATTTTTATTTTCATTACTTATATTTAACGTGATCTTTATTTTATATATTTTTTATTATTGTTATTTTATGTATGTATACCTTTATTCTTTCGTTTTGTTATCTTGCGAATTTGATTTTCTAAAGGTTAAATGCTTCCATAGTTTGCACTTGCAAATAATTTATTTGTTCTCTCTTTTTATTTGTTAATGTTTATTTTTTAATATTAATAAAATTATTTTATTTTCTAATAATTTATTTGTTGATATTGAATTATTTTGAAAATTATTTATTACTTTATAAAATACAATTATTGTTTTTCGACAATATTTGTATATTCCATAGTTCGGCTCGTTGAAGCTCGGATTGATTTGCTCGTTTAATAAATCTAAAAATCCTAAACAATTTCTTAGTGAGTAACTCATTTCGTATAACAATGAGTTGATTCATAAATTTTTAGAGGATTAATATATAAAAAAAAATTTCATTTATTTTTTCTTGATATTAGTTATTATATACGTTTATTAATGTTTCATTTCCAAACATAATATTATAACTACAAGTATACAAAAGTCTCAGTAAGTTTTAAAAAGTTCATTATGAAAGTCTTAAAAAGTAACTAATGAGAATTCTCTGAAAGTCTCAACAAGTCTACCAAAGTCATGAAAGTTTTAAAAAGTCTACAAAAGTCACCAAATTTAAAAAGTTTTAAAAAGTCCTTAAAAATCTCAATTGAATACAACCTCCTTAGACTAATTTACGGTTTACCATAGCTAAAGTTAATTTTAGGAGGTGGTTAGTGCTTACAGATTAAGAGACGTGGCCACTGACCGGGCCGGACTGTCGATTTTACTCGAACTGGCCCTGAGTCTGTCCGTAGTCAACGAACCTATAACCGAGCTTGTAATTTGATTAGGCCGGTTCAGGGCCGCATGTATATAAATTTTTAACTTGGCGGGCCGGTCTGAAACTGGCCCTTGAGACGGCTCTGGTCGAGTTAGGCTCGGACCAGGTAGTAGCCGTTGGCGGCATGCATATCTAGGTGTTGGATTTTTTTGACCATTGGAGGTCCAACGACTGCCAGATTTAAGCATTTTTTTTTTCGATTCGGGACAGGGCCTGCTTCCGGGTCCGAACCGGCATGCCTGGAACTTGTCACGTCGCCAACGGTCAGTTTTTCAAATATGATCTTTGGATCATCTTGACCGTTGAGATCCAACGGTCAAGATTCGCATGACAAGTCGGTCCTGTCGAGTCGACCAAGCCCCGTAGGTCCCGTGATTAAAAAATTAAAAAAATTCAAAACAAAAATAAAAAATTCAATAGAATTCTATAAATACCCCCTCCTTCCAAGTCAGATTTTTCACACTACTAGTAAAGTGCACGTGCGATGCACGTGGTGGTGAATGTTTTGTCAATTAAGTTTAGTAAAACAAATTAATTAATTTATTAAAAATATCATTGCAAGAATGAAATAAAACGTAGAATAAATGAGCTCATAATGTAATTGTTTTTTGCCGATTAAGTTTTGTAAAATAAATAAATTAATTGATTAAATATATCATTGCAATAATGAAACAAAATGCAGAACAAATTGTTTTTTCCAAAATAACTTAACGATGTCCTAATATAAAAACAATTAAATAATACATTACAACCCCAACAAAAATACTAAATAACTAAATAATGACTAATATATATTATACATGCATTAGTTCTTTTATTTGTTTATGTTAGATGATTCAATAGCGATCTCTTTCATTTTGAAATCCTCATAAGAAGCATTGTTGATTCAATTGTATTGCAAAATTCATCTTAATTTATTTGGCAAAACGTCTACTTTATTCAAATACTTAAAAAAAATATTCTAGTCCAACATATAGTGAAACTTCATGGTTGTACCATATTTATATTTCTACTAACAATGCATGAATATTTCTGCAAAATAGCTAATCGTGTCATTAAAATTGTTGATTATCTTTTATCATTGTATAAACTACTATATTATTCTATATATATAGACAAATTGATACCTACCCATGGATGTATCGCCCTACAGGGGGAATGAATTTCATCTCGAAATAAAAGTTGACTTTTCAAAATCTCTATTACATGTAATTTTCCTGAGATTAGTTTTTGAAATGATCACATATTACCTAAAAGTACATACTCTAAAATAATTGTACATATGTTCAAACACAATACACCAATGAAATTATAAATATTCCTATAAGAAGTGTCAACTTCATTCAAACATTCAAAAATGTTTTGATCAGGCTCCAACGTTTCATTTTCAATGTCATTTATTTGAAAGATAGACGAACTATATAATATATTGTTTATAAATCATTGACCACCTAGTTCTTGCAATGATTTTAGAATTATTTATTTTAATATCTTTCACATTTGTTTGGATTTGTAACATTTATGTGTCCAATAACTTTTTTAATGCTTTTATCGTCCAACTTCATGCATCATACATAATGCTCATAAAACTCAAGATAAAGATCATTTTTTGATTCTTCACCAATGACAAAACCAACCAAAACAAAACAATGAGACAACATTGAGAAGCATATCATTTGTTAAAAAATGAGAAAAATTGGAATTCTATTTTATGACTCCCATCTTTGAACTTTATTATTACGAAATCATTATTAAAATCTACTATATGTATTATAAAGTTTTAAATTTTTAATTATTTAAAATTAAAAATTGATAATATAGGATCATTTATTTATGAGATCCAATTTCTTACAGAATCCATATATTTAAATGCTAGCAGCAAAAAAATATTATCTTTAAAAGACTTTTTGTTTCTAAATATTGGTATTCATACTTGTCGAAGAAAATTCAGACGTTTTCTTTTTTTCAATTGTATTACTATTACTTTATTAGTTTTTATTATATTTGATAAGTAATACTTTATTTATTAAAAGAATTATAGCACATTTATATGTATTGCATCATTTTTTGTACGTGTTTCATATAATGACGTTGTTATCAAAATATCATATTTATTAGGCAACAACTAATGTAATCACATAAGATAAAATAAAATTTAATATTACTTATTTATTTATTTATTTATTTATAATAATAATATATTTGATAAAAAATGTAGTTTTATACTGATTATTAGATTAAAAGGTTTAGAATTTTTTCCCAATGTTTGAGAAATATTAAGAAACTAACTCATTTTCATACTCATTAAATTTATGTGTTAGTTGAATAATAATTTAACATACAACTCGTTTATTTCTCCTTTTAATTCACATGGTTAATATTGGTGATAGTTGTATGTTTACATCCATTGTTTGTTTTCTCTTAATATGAATTTTCGGATCTATGTAAAAAAAAGATGCCACAATTTTATATTATGTTATTTAATACTTAATGAATTTATGTTACATGGATGTATAATTTATTTTATAAGATATTTTTAGGTCTATTTATTATTTTTAATTCGTGTTGATAATTGATACACATCATTGGAAAGAAATGATGTGATATATTATATATAAAAAGGTAACAAATAATAAAATAATGAGTATTTTAAAATTAAAAAATTAATGGTAGAAAGTAATT